AGGTTAGAGTGAGAGAAAAAAAAAAAAGGCACAGACTCAGTTAAGTTGCGAGGGGACGCGACAGAGCAGAGTTTGACAGGAGGGCAAGGATTTGCTGTTTAGAGTTGTATCGGCACATCGAGTTGCATCGAGTCCGGACCTCGACAACAGCTTATCTGAGGTTTCCCATTGTGATGGACAATGAACCTATAGGGGTGTTTTTAATGGCTAGATAGGGAGTGCGTGTAGTATTGCATGAGCTGGTTCAAAGCGTCCACCTATGGGATGGGATGGGATGTTTCATGACTGACCATTACTAACATTGGCAACAGCAGGAAAGGAGAGTTGAAGAGAATAGTTGAGTTGTCAGGATAGGCATAGACATATCATTGAAAGAGTGAGGGATTGGAAGGAGTTGCAGTTGATGAGGGCGACTGATTGTACGCCCATATCTTATGGCTGAGCACATTTGTCCCTTTCTGTTTGTAATACACTTTTCCCCAACCATATAGTTGCATCTCTACCCGATAAACGCAATGATGAAGTATCGCCTGGTTTTGATGATTTGCTATTATTGCCAGTCTTGGGCAATTAAGCGTGATGTTGAATCAAGGCTGGAGAGCGGCATGAACCAATTAGGATCGGCCAGGTTGATGCTGCAAATCTCTATTACCATGAGGCCCAATAAAGAATGGGAGTCTATGTTGAAGATGATTCACAGCAGCGATTGAGAGAGACCAATCTCTCAGTGATTGATTGACCTCTGACCCCCCTTGGTGACTCAAACACTGCCTTGCCTGATCTGATCTCTGTTAATGCTGGTGTCAATTAACACTGTTAATGGATATGTAGGTATACCAGGAGGACTGTTCCTCATTGCATTTCTCACTCTAACCCTTATATCTAGTTTAGGAAACCCCTCTAAAACACCATTTCCTGTTTCGATTTGCACAGCACACAATCCAATCTCTTGTTGTGTCTTTCCTGGCAATTTGCAATTACTACCTACCTACGTAGTTGACTCTCGCCTTAGCTTTACACATGCCCCACAGGACAGGACAGGCCCCATCCCATCCTATTCTCCTCCGAATTAACTGACGGGACCTTATCCCTTTCCTTTTCTATTGCCCTCTTCAGACTATCCATCCATCATTTACTTTAAACTTGCCCAATTTATTTAGGATTCAACTCTTTACTTGGTTGAGGCATTTGAACTCAACCTTGATAACCACGCAACCACTAAAGTTACGTGTTTGTTAACTCTCCATCTATCCCCTCTTCTTTCTATCAATTGTATGTACCTATGTCCAGTTTATCTGCCAAGTTGATTTGAACTGCGCTTATTGATTTTAGCCCTCACACTCACCCCCCGGCTTAAGATTCCAGAAACCAGATATTTAACCAACCAGGGTGTTGGTCTTGATTCTCCATTCCTGCTTTTGCACCGACCATCCACTCTTGAACTTATTACCTGACCTGACCTGACCTGACCGGGCTGCCTATTTATTACCTTATTGCCTTAACCATCGGGACTAAGTTAACTAAAAGGTGTCCATACTTAGTTATTAGTCCTCGACTCGACTTGACTAGTTGCATTGCAGTGCTGCGCAGTAGCACTAACCACTTTACTAAAGGCGACTGGATTATAATTCATCAACTGGCAACTGGCAACTTGCGACCGACAAACCTACCTACCTACCGCGCAGCTCCTTCCTTTTACCTTTTCCTTATCCTTCTTACCTCGACTACCTAGGTACCTACCTAATTGGCAACGCGCCATACATTTTTTTTTTCTACCTTCTATTCTATACAACCCCCAAAATCCAGAGTCTGTCTCTGTTTTCCTCTTCAACACTACCAAAGTTGACTAGCTCGACAATACTTATTTCGCGTTCCAGCATTGGTAGATCAGGTATTCTTCAAGTCGCGTCATGGAAAACGTCGACAACGACAACGACAAGCCCAGGCCGGTTGCGCCACCTGAGCCCATATCGCCTGCGCTCTCATCGACTGCTGTGCCCAAAGCTGCCGCTTCGAGAACAGCATCTCCAACTCATGTCCCTACACCAGACTCCCCTTCTACCCGCGCTATAGCTGTCAAGAGTAAGAGTCCAGCTCCCAGTAGTGCGATCGCAAATGCTCCTCCGGCACCTCCCTCGACGTCTGAGCCCAAAGCTGCAACGCCAACTATGTCGCGATCCCCATTGCCGTCAGGATCGATTTTAGCTTCAGTTGCCAATGCCAAGGACCGCGCACCTTCACCGTCTGGTCCATCAACAAGTACTGTTAATGGCAAATCGAAATCGCCAATAGTTGCTGCTGCAAGTACTCCTGCCGTCGCCGCCGCTACTGCTAAAAGCCCGTCTCCAAGGCAAGTAAAATCATGTTTTATCCGCTATTGTTTTTCTGATTTTCCTATTCAATGCTCTTCTATTATTTCACCACCACGACATTGTTGATTTCAGTTGCTTCGCCATGATGTACTCGCGTTCTCAGCCAGTCAAGTGATTGTGCGAGTAAACGAATGAGTGGCGTGGCTCTGGCAAGGGTTACGGCCTAAAGTTAGCTGGCATTGCCCAATTTGTCAGTACCAAGGGTTGTATCCGTATGTCATGTTGTGTTGTGTTGTGTTGTTGTTGACTGCATCTGGCCTGACTGTGTCCGTATTGGATGCATCTCATCATGATTCCTTCAGCGAGACCGAGACTCTCAAGCAGCGCCCGCAACTTGAGGAACAATCGACTTGATATTAATCTGCGCATGGAAGCCATGGAGCAAGTCAAAATATTGCACTCTACCTATCGTTTGAAAAGGCTGAATCACAGGTTGTCAGTGTTACTGCAACTGCAACTGCCTGCACCTGCACCTGCACTACAATTGTCTCCCTCCCTATTCATTCAATGACAATAGGCAGTCGCGATCATTATGCCTTCCTTCCTCTTTCATCCCAACTCCACCCTCTTTCCTTGACAACGCTTTGATATCCTTTCTGGATAATTTTCTTGATTCCTCTACTCTCTTCATATGCTTTGTTTCATAGAACCCGAATCACAAGTTGAGTATCAACTCTTCTGTGATTTCTTTTATCTCTCCTGCAAACCTGCAGAAAGAAATTCCATGGCAAACTCACTCTATACACCCTACCCAGGCTGCAATGCAATGGCATCCACAAGAGTTCTCAGGTACCCCAACTTCCCTTCCCGTTTAGTGCCGCATCCTAGTCCCTGCAGATTTTGTCATCTTTACCACACTTGTATTGGCGATTATCTATCCCTGCAGCCACGTCAGGCCTTCACCAGAACGACTCTGGATTACACGACTTGTTTGAGTTATGTCCTTCTTTCTTGGCTTTCACTTGACACCGATCAACTGGCCGGATGTTTTACTCCCTACTCAGATCTAGCAACTTCCATTTCCTTTAATGCATGCTTTCGTTTACTGTGTCGCTTAGTTACATCGCTAGCCCAAAAAGATCACAACTAACATGTCTTTGCAGACCCATTAATGGCCGTAAGGCCTCGATTGGCGATGCCGAGGTTGAAAGCGAGCTTAGTGATCCAGCAAGCACCGTACACTCGCCGTCTGGTGTCGACTTCAATGAACTTGAGGACGAAATCATAGTAGGAGCACGTACCAATGGTACACGAAAGTCGTCACCTCTTCGGCCTGCATCTGATGCCGAAGATGAGACGATGGTTGATGCTGACGATGAGCCTGTTACTTCACACTACCCCAAGCGGAAGCGAACCTCGATTTTCCACGATTTGAGTGAAAGAAAAATTATTGCGGACGACCGCCAGAGTTCTGCACCTACCACAAAGACGAAACCGGCTCGTTCAAGCACAGGAAACGTCAAAGGTGTTACCGTGGGCTACTGGAGAGATTCGGACGCCCCTACTGAAGAGCTCAAACATGCCGTTATTGGCTTCATAGACGTTCGTGAACGTCTCCGTACTCGTATACAGGGCGTCACTAGATCTGGAGATGCTATGTCAGAAGAATATCCACTGCCTCCGGGGCCTGGTGGAAGCTGGGTGACGTTCGAGAGGATTGTGTTTTCCCCACACCTTGTCGGTTTGGACCACCTGCAAGTTAAAGAGTATGTCAAACTTCGCACCAGCAGTGTAGGTATTGAACAGACCGAGGCCCAGCGGACGGCTGCAGAGTTGGACGCAGTCAAGGAAGCCATTCGTCGGGTCAAATCGAATCCGGTCACCGACAATAGCTCAAACCCACCCCAGATTGCTTATGGCGTCGAGCTTCCCAAGCACTTGCAGACGAATCGCGACGCGAAGCGACGGAGGACCAGCGGAGGTTTCGCTCCTGCCAACACTGTCCCATCAAATGGTCCTGTAGTCGAACATACTCCCATCCAACCAGCACCTGGTGGACCACAGCCTGTACGAAACGTTATTGACCCGCTCCCCGGCACTAGACCGACACGGATTCTTCTTGGTACATGGGCCAAGTCTGCAGAGCCCGATGTCAAAGATCGCCACGCGGTATATGGTATCTTGGGCCAAAACGATATGTTCCGAGTGAAACTAGTACGAGAAACACCCGACGGACGATTTGTTGACAGCAACTTTCCTCCAGGGGCTGGTGCTCTGTGGATTTCATACGAAGAAGTGAACTTCGAAGAGCATCTGGTGCATCTTGCGAGAAATGAAATAAAAGAGTATTGTCGCGTGCGTCAATGGCAGCTCGATCGCGGAGAAACAGCCGAGGAACGGACAGCAAACGAGATCAAGGCGGTATCCGAGGCACAGTCTAGAGCTGCAGGCACCAACTACAAAGCTCCCGCCCCTTTGTCAATTGCGCCCGCTCTACCTCGTCTTCCTGGAGAGTTTGGCGAGGAAGCAGAACAACCACCAAAACCAAGCTGGTCCGGTGACGAAATCCGCCAACACCCCCGCCAAAGTCGTCGTGTAGAAGCAGCTAGAGCTGAAGGCCGTTCAACTCGTCAAGCACCTATTGAGATTGATGCTATTCAACAGCCCCAACCGACTCGTCCGATCACGGGCAGGACACAGCAGAGCACTAATGCTCTAGAACGAACATCAGCTCTGGCTGAGCGCGAGATCGCGCGAGTGGAACAAGCCCAGGAGCGTGCTCACACCCAGGCCATCAACCGTGAGCGAGCAGCAGCCGCCGCCGCCCAAGCAGCCGCCCAAGCCGCCGCTCAGATCCCCAGTCTAGCCTCCAACGGTCGTCCACAATTTCACGAAAGCCTTGAAATGCAGCGCCTCAACAAGGTATGGGCTAGTCAGGAGAGTATGCGATACTCGAGGGCAAGCAACGACGACGCAAAGATGCATGGCGGAATCAAATACGAGCGCAAGGCCAATGGTCCTTTTGTAGGGAAGCTGGTATCTCAAGGAACCATTATCAACATCGATGGCGAGGACTACGTCGAATACCGCGTTCTGACGAAGCCATCATTCTTCTAACGTCATTACATCGTATTCAATGGACCCTGCTTTATAGTGTGGCTGACTTGGCGAACGTTGTTTGATCGAAACACTCAAGGGACAAAATCTTGCGTTGAAGCCCCACGACAATATGCTTCATAGAACCACCGTTTGCTATATGATTGCGCAGTTTACTGGGCCTAATTACGAGGTACAGAGTTTCTGCATTATAGGCGCTGGAAGGAAGGCCGTTTTGGCAGACGATATTTCAGCGACACGGCACTTTTGTGTTAGACAGGGAAAGGGCCACTTCCACATACACTAGAATGGTTCTCATCTTCTTTGCTTTCTTTCTCTGCTGTCTGTTCCTTTGTCTTCTTGGCCATACTTGGGTTGAGAGCAAAGGCTTGGGGTGGAATGGACTGATCTAGTAAAGACTGGGCCTCGCGGAAAGGGGACGGAGTTTCGGGTCGGGAATGGTATCTGATTATACCCGGTATAGGCAGTCTGTAATTTAGTGTTTTCTCAGCAGCTAGACAGCGTTTCTCTTTCTTATTAGTTAATCGTAATGCTCTGGAAGCAACTGCACTTGTATTCCTTGGCGACTTGCGAGCCGTGATATCTATGAACATGGAATAGTGACATGATGGGACAGACTGAAGAGACCTCTTGAAGGATATATACATACGAAAGGGACCATTGGCTGCTGTCTCGTGGAGAGCTGAACTTGTTTGTTGTGTTGAGACCGATGGTTGATAGTGGTTTGTTTAGTGGGGCTTTGTTGGATAGAGGGTATATAGCAAAATATGGAGCCAAGTCTCCATCAAAAACCTGATAAGCCGTCATCGTATAGGGGTCAGTACATCAGTTTGTGGCTCTTCGAAGCACTGAAAACGCAAGTTCGAGTCTTGCTGACGGCAAACCAATAATCTTTTGTTATTTTTGTAATCATCATTCATTTATCTTAATCGTAATTAAGACTTGAATTCCATCTTTTTGGAAGGAGTTAGTTATCAATCCAACACCACCGAATCAGACTGCCAACACAGTACTTAGATACCTATCGGCCCTTTGACCACCATGTCACACGTCGTCAAGGAGATGACTCCTGTTGCGGAAATATACTCGAGTGTGTAATCCGGTCTCCCGGGGAAGCTGCAGTTACCAAGGAGAAAACGGGAGAGACCATAGGATATGGGCTCGGAGTAATCTCAACTTGTGTAATGTGATGTGATGACCTGAACGAGGAAGATGATGGCATATACGGAACATGATACAGCCGGGGAGATAGTTTAGACTCATGACGTCGACGAGGCCCATGGGAATGGTTGACCTGGAGTTCTCATGCCTGCTCTTTATAAACCAAGATCAACGGTTCGCTGGCGTATACAAGGGTTTCTATCAGCTCTTCAGGAGAGGCAATCTCAATACGAGGTGGTGCAAGCTGTCCATCCTCGGCCAATCGTGTACTCTGTCAATCACCTCAAAGTAGACATGTTCTATTTAGAGAGTTTGTATCCGTATCAGGCTCAGACTCAGTCAGACTCTACATACCTTTCCCACGTGCCCTCGTCGTTTCTGCAGTGGGATGCCGATGGCGTTCGTGCCCTTGACTGCAGAGGTTCTGTTGCACAGGCAGAAAGAAGAGAAGAGGAGACAATGCGTTGTGCCGAGCCTCAGCTCAGCTTGAGCCTATCTAGTGAATAAATGACTAATGTCTTGTCTTGTCTTCACCGCAAAATTGAGGTGCATATTTTGGAACAATTCGTTATGCAAGTTGGACATATGGTCTCTGATTGAGCCAATTGAATTGTGTAAGTGTGAAAACAGAGATGGGAGGCTGCAAGATGCCGTCTTATGATATGACTGACAAACAATTCCAGGAAATCTACAGCGCATGACGCGCGTATTTAATATTCAATTCAGGAACTGTAATGGAGAGTAGTTTGAATGGTAATGTATGCAATGCAGTGGCTAGCGGGGCAAAACATGGCAAGGTGCTTCTGTGTAACCTCAGCAAACGCAGAGAAGACTCACGGAAGTCTTCATCCACAAACAGTTGGGAAACAAGGGAATGAGTTAGAGGATAGATACAGAAAGGGAATGTCTGCATAGACTCTGCATGTTGCTGTTCTGAATGACAAGTATTGCCGACATCTAGAGTCATCCCATACATACCTACATATATATACATATATATGCAGCAGAAGTATTCGCGAAACAATGGATATAATTGGTTACCAGAATGCGAGACCCTGGCCAAACTACTCGCTTGGCCTGCCAAACAGTGACCGTTCGTTGCTGTGAGTTACTGTATTGTACTGCATGCAACACAGCTGAACATGTCTCTGTCTCTGTTTTTGTCTCTGTTTTTGTCTCCCGGCTCAGCTTGCCTGTATTTAGTAGTTGCTTGTCTACTAGACTAGACCTTATATCGTGGCAGCCACACCCAAACTGTAGTTCCCGTTGGAGAAAACAAGCAAGAAGGCCTCGAAAGATGAGCTTCTCTAGGATAATTCTCCGCTCCGCCCATTCATGCAAGCCTCTCGGGTCTTCGCATCACTTGGGATCCTACTAGAAGGGAGAGGGACTCTGGAGGTGGCATACGAGGTTATTCTCGTCGGACGCGGGTGACTACAGTACAGCATAAGTTGTGTAACTTGTGGTCAAACTTGACCTTTGGAGGCTGACGGACACACGCCCAGCCTGATCTTGTCCATGCTGCCGGTCCTGGACCATCACCGGCTTGTGCTTCCAGAGAGATGCTCACTGAACAAGTCCTAGTAGAAGACAAAGTGCAAGACTGAATGACATACTAAGTGGATGGTAAACTGTTATACCCCGTTATAGTGACCATACATCCCCCCTTTCGCTCCTTTTCGTCCTCTCACTCCCGTTATTATCTCATTCCCGTTCCCGTTCGCTTTCGCTTCCTTCTTCGTTTCGAGTTGCCTTCTGATCCTCCAGCTGAAACCTTCCATTTTCTCTCATCTCGAGCAATGCTTGACGAAAACAACCCCTTCATCTCACTTTAATCCTCTTCTGAAATGACGGGCTGCGCTGGGCACTTCTGGGGCTTCGTTGCGCCAGACGTGCAAGATCCGCCACAGTGTATTGCCTTGTGTAGGGAGAGATTCCTCAAGGAGCTTGTGCCAGAGGATGAGACATTTGAGAAGGTGTGCGAGGCTCTTCAAGACAGGGAATACATGGAGAGAGAGCAGCCTTTCCGGGCTTTGTACTGCTGTGATGCTCAGGCTTGTGGCGTGGATAATCTTGGTGAGCGTGGCAGAGATCGTAAGTGATATATCAGATATACTCGAGATGACTACCTGTGAATGCTAACGACTAATAGCAAATGTCAACTGGCTTATTAATGCTTGTCAAGAGTAAGGAAACTCTCTACCTTGGAAGAACTAGATTCTAAGACGCTGGCAGTATCGGATATCACTCTGTAATAGACCCAGGCCCTCCTCAACCATACCACATTTGCGATTCTGAGTCCATCCACGGAAACAACAAAGACTGTCAAGAAGTCAACTCAGCAGACAGAACTGGAGATGTGCTCTCTCAAATTACTTCAACGACGACGTCGACCATCACGGCCGAGGTAACAATAACAAGATCGACGAGAACATCAGCCACAGCCATAGTCACAGAAACAGAAACATCAATTTCTCTATCTATGCAAAGCTCTATACAACCAACAGATTACTCTACAAGCAGCGACCCTGCAACTCACGCCACTTCCGACCCGTCAAACAGCAACCAAAGCCACAGTAACAAAGGATTATCTACGGGCGTAAAAGTAACCATCGCCATAATCTCCGTCGTCGGCCTCCTTTTCATCCTCGCTCTAATATTCTGCGTCTTCCGAAGACGACGTTCCCGCAATAACGACATCCGAAGACTAATGAAACATCCAACATCGCCTCCTCCAGCAGCAGATACGCCAACTCCTCTCGTCTCTCCAACTCTTTCTGCTTCTCACGTTGATGCTGAGAGTATTCCGCTTACACCACCCGCGCGACTTCGTGAACGCAGATACCTTCCCACCGACGGCTTTCCTACTTCTCCTCTCTTTTCACCTACGGGGAAGAAACTCTCGCCGAGACATGAAAGAACACCTAGAATCTACAGCGCGAATCAAGTTCCTATGATAGTCATGACAGCGCCAGATGGTGGCAAGATGAATAATGATCGCTCACCAAGTCTCAGTGATGGCATCATCACCCCTCCGGCTTCTGCTCTCATGACACCCTTTGGGCCCAACGGAAACACTTCTCCTCCTCGACCGCCGCGTTCACGCGATGCTTCTTTCCAAATGCTTGCTAGTCCAGGACCACCACCAACAAGAGCTCTTCCGTCGACTCCCCCTATCAGACCTTCTACTCCTACAAATCCCTCTCGAAAGGCCACCACATCGCGTGGAGAGACATAAGACTATTGTGTATCCTAAAAAGGGTACCACAGTCAAAAGGCTATCATTTCATGTAAACATCGCATGTATAAGTATGAATACGCATCAAGGAGGGTTACGATGAACTACATGATACAAAAACATGTTTTGATTCCAACCTTAGCACATTACGCTTTCTTTTCTTTAACTGTAGAACAAGCTTAATATTTGTAATACTATTTATTATCATTGATTCCTTAGATGCCAATCTCCTTGAGCGACTCAACAAGATCCGTCATACTCGTCTCAACACTAATCCAGTCAATCTTGATGATCTTGTCCGTCTCCTCCTTATTATAACCAAACATCTGGTTCTTAGGAGGGAGTTCTCCACCCTTGACTTCAGGTCCAGGAAGTTTATCCTTAAACTCGGGGAACTTCTCAGCAACAATATCGACAAACTGACGGTGCGAGAACAATCCTGCTGTGGCAAAGAGTCGCTTTCCTCCGGCGCTGGACTCCTCGAGACCTCGAACGTGTGCCCGTGCAGCATCTCGCACGTCAATCCAGAGAGGAACAGGTGTGCAAGGGGGAATCTCATCCTTCCACCCACCACGCAACATCTTCACGACACGCTCGTTGGAAGTGTTGATGCTCTCCAAAGTAGCGAGATGCTTTGACACGGGACCCAGAACCAAAGGTGGGCAAACCGTCACAAGGTCGAAAGAGGGCTTTTCCTCAGCGACAAAGTCCCATGCTGCGCGTTCGGCCAGGGTCTTTGAAGCACGGTAAGCAGTTGCGTCTGAGCGGTTGATGTCATCGATGGTGACGGGGTTCCATGTCTTTTCCGAAAAGACGTGGGATCCATCTGTGAATTTCGCCTCGTCAAGGACGGCGGCGAAGGATGAGGTGATGACAACTCGCTTGACGTTGGGTGCTGAGGCGTGAAGGGCCTTGAGGATGCCTGTTGTGCCGATGACGGCCGGGTCTATGAGATCCTTCTTAGGATCGGCTAAGCAATTTCCCTGTCAGCCATAAAATCAACCCAACCATGATATTTTGGGACTTACTAATGTTAAAATGAAATGGGCTTGCAACGTGAACCACAGCCTCAAGACCAGGAGTCTTGGCTACTTGGTCAAAAGCGTCGGGTTTTGCGATATCTGGTACAATGACAATCTCTAGCTTGCCATCCCTGACCTTGTCAGGGAATGCATTGCGGATCTTCTGAGCCTTATCCTCTGAGCGGACGGTTGTGACAAGTGTGTAGTTCTTGTCAAGAAGCTGTTCGAGGGTATGGGCTGGAACGTTGTTAGACTGTGCCTGTCATATCATATAAGGGCCGTCTATGGCATCTATACATACCGGCAATGAAGCCTGAACCACCTGAGAATAACGTGTTAGATATCTAATCAGATGTGTGTCGTGTATATAAACTTACCAGTGAGGAGAACCTTTGTCATGATGAGCGCAGTATAGGAGTGTTAAGCATTCAAGGAGTATATAGACCAGCTGTGATATTTCTCAGATGGACGATGATGAGTTTAGAAGCTTTCGACAAAGCCAATGGCTCATTGTTTGACGTCAATGGCCTCTTTATAGCTCGGATGCAGGTTGGGGGGGGTCGGGTCTATGATAAACTGGACCCGCATTCGTCATTCAAAGTTGGGGGATTCGGCAAGTTGCAGTTGCAGTTCCATATGCAGATGCAGTTCCCCTCCCCCACGCTTTCCTCCTCTTTCGTTGCAACCTTTTCGACACTTTCCAACTCAAGGGGTCTCCTTCCGTTACCGGACACTATCACTTTGCTCAAGCTGACTAATGTTACATATATCACGACATATTCAAGTCACAACAAAACACTTTCATACCAACTCATAATATAATAGGTAATGTACACATACAAAATAGCTTATTACAATCGAGACATGATTGAGAGGGATTATCCATATACACGCTTGGTGTAGGCTTACGCCTAAGATTCGCTGCACCGCATCATCCTATCCTGGTTGATATGAGTGGCTCCTCTTGGCCCCTTTTGCTCAACCTGACTTCCTGTATAATGCCGCTATCGCTGTAACAATATAGAGATCCGTATGGACGCAAATCGCTAAGCCTAGGCGCAGGCCAGTCGTCCTCGCTCAAATCCTCTTCTCTTTCATGTCTCGCACGGGCAACTCATCCAATTCCACGCAATGCTCACTGTAGGAATATGCGTTCGATTTGGTTCTTCACCCGCTTGTCCCATGCACCACATACCACGTACGCAGCACACTCCACGCCGGGCCTCCTCCTTCCCTCGTCTTTGGCCCCGGCGTGGCACTGGCTTTTAAAGCCCTTCAGCCTCAACCCTCAGTTCTAGATGTGTCTGCTGCAGCTGGTGGTGCAGGGCTCTCCGGAGGATGAGGCTGGGGAACGCCACCAAGACCAGGTGGCGTAGGAGATTGTTGAGGCATAGGCAACTTCATAGGTCCCTTGGGTGCGATGATACGTCCGGGGAGACTCTCGCCTCGAATCACCTTCTCCACTTCAGACTTGTCCAAGGTCTCATACTGCACGAGAGCCTTGGCGAGCAAATCCAATTCTTTTCGCTTGTCGGTCAACAGCGTTCGCACATCCTCATATGACTTTCTTATCGTTTTTTGGACTTCGCCTTCGATTGCTGCCTTGGTTTCAGAACTGAGATTCTCGTATCTTCGGCCATATTCAACAGGTCCTAACACGCTAGACATGCCGAAAAGGGTGACCATCATGAATCCTAGATCAGTCGCCTTCTCAAGATCCTAAAGAAGTTAGCATATAATCCAAAAAGCCTAGTAAGATATAATAATACTCACCGATGAAACACCCGAGGTCACTTTATCACCGCCGTATCGCAGCTCCTCGGCCATCTTGCCTCCGAGCGCCACACGAATATTCGACATATACTCAGCAGCCGTGTAGGAATACTTGTCCATCTGGGGAAGTTGAGCAGTGTGGCCCAGCGAGGGACCCTTGGGCAGAATTGTAACCTTGTAGAGGGTGTTTGAGCTCTCCTTGTCGAAAAGCTGGACAAGCGCGTGACCAGCCTCATGGTAAGCCGTCATTTCCTTCTCTTTTTCGGTGATAACCATTGACTTGCGCTCAGAACCCATAGTAACTCGGTCGTAAGCCCATTCCATGTCCTGCTTTGAAACAAAGCTGGCTTTGGCTCGACTGGCTCGAAGAGCAGCGACATTGAGCATGTTCTCCAGTTCGGCACCTGAATGACCAGGGCATCGGGTAGCAATAGCCTCGAGGTCGACATCAGGAGAAATCTTGATCTTCTTGGCGTGGTGTTTGAGAATAGCAATTCGGCCTCTAACATCAGGCAGGTCAACGTTGACGTGTCGATCGAAGCGTCCAGGGCGAGTAAGGGCCTTATCCAACATCTTGGGCAAGTTGGTGGCTCCGATAATGATGATCTTGCTTTCCTGATCAAATCCGTCCAATTCAGTGAGCAGCTGGTTCAGTGTCTGTTTCGCGTGTGCCTGATCCCTAGGGTTGCGCTTGCCTCCTATGGCGTCGAGTTCATCGATAAAGATAATGGCAGGGGACTTGTTCTTGGCGGCAGTGAAGAGCTCGCGCACTCGCTTGGCGCCGACACCAACAAAGATCTCGTCAAACTCACTACCGGACATATAGAAGAAAGGAACACCAGCTTCACCGGCAACGGCTCGAGCAAGAAGTGTTTTACCAGTACCGGGAGGACCAACCAAGAGGACACCCTTGGGAAGTTTAGCACCTAGATCGCTGAACTTCTCGGGATTCTTCAGAAACTCGACGACTTCCTGGAGTTCTTCCTTGGCTTCGTCACAACCATGAACGTCGTTAAACTTCGTGTTTTGCTTCTCAGCCTTGACCTCAGAGTCCTGCTTACTGTTGGGACCTCTCTGGCGGAAAGTGCTGAAAGCTTCGATAGCAATAGTAACGAGAGCAAAGCACAGATATGTAGTGACGACAAAGATGGCCAAGAATTTGACCCAGCGGAAGATGATAGACCGAGTCGATTCTTGAACGACGACATGGATGGGTTCTCCCTTATGACCCATAGGGTTGCCAGCGGTTGCAGAACCAGCCACGGCAGCGTTAGCAATACCTTGTTCATAAGTAGGCCACTGGGTACGTCCAAAGTTTCCATTCATAGCTCCAGGCGCGCTCGCAGCTTGGTTGGCACTAGCACCAAGCATGGTGAGGGCTCGCTGATAGGCGTCATTGGTTGCAGGGTTGACAGCGAAGCGTCCAGATTGATATCGTTCCACAAGAATAGCAGGCATGTTGGCTCGGAGAAGAAGCTGATAAAAAGCATTCTGCGCGTTTGCATTACCAGGGTTTCGGTTGGCGGATTCCTCTAATGTCGCGAGCTGATTACGGGAAATGCCATTGGAGCTGCCGAATGCTCTGCGCTGGACAGAAAATGGACCGAGTGTCGAGATAGCACGAGATGACAGAATACCAGAAGATGAGGAGAATGATCGCATGAAGGACGACGGGGATGATGCGCGGGGTTGAAAGTAGGGGTGTCGCAAGATGGGGTTGGCCGCCTGAAGGCCAACACGGCCCATGCTGGAGATAGTAGTCTGCGCAGTCATCGGTGTCATGGAAGCAAACCGTGAACGAGAGAGAGATGAAAAGTCAACTTTTTGTAGAAAGTCGGGAATTCGAAGTTCAGGTGCCTGCGAGTCAAGTCAGTATGGTGCCCCTACACCACTGAGCTACTACTCACTTGTTGAGATTCAAACGTTTTGTTCTCCTTCGAAGGAACCGATCGACGAGCCGGAAGTGAAGTCGTGTGTTTCCAGGGAGCCATGACAGTATTCGCAAGCGAAGGCCATAACTCCGTAGTTGTTGCTGCCATATTCTGAAGCCTCGTCAGCGCTGTTCGGCTAGCTTTCTAACCTCCGAAGCAACTTACCGGCAGCATCATGGCGTTGAATGCCATGCTAGGAGTGGGATTGCACCAGAAGTGCCTTCGTAGTGATGATACCTAAGCTGATGATGGAAGAAAAGATGATGATAAAGGGTTTCAATGACGTGCAAGTAGGTGGCTTGGTCTACGCCTCCCGCCACGTATAAAGTTTCTCGAGAACGGGGCCGTTTGTCGTGGACCAAGAACGTTATACGGTAAGTCTACTCAAAGAGACGAAATGATTGTCTACCGGGATGCACTCATAGTGAATCGCGCGCAGGCATCATCGGTATGTAATCGATGGGGGGAGTTCGGACTGCTTGCCACTCTGGTCCGCAATTCGGCATCACATCACTGAGCATGGCCTTTCCCATTTGGGAAATGGCTGAGTCATCAGTACTCGGCCGCCAGATCTTCCGTCTCCCGACTACGACACCTCGAAGGCGCGATCAGTCCCTATTATTGACGGTTTTCATTTCCTTTCACAAGGCCTTTTGCACTGGAATCTCGTCTCTGAATATATATGTAGATTATACAGTGTTTTCTGTTATAGGCATAGTGCATAGTTAATCTGAAAGTTGAAGGGAAGATTGAAAGAGAGCTTCTATTATTTGGATGCTATGTGTTTATTAAGTATGAATATAAACCTCTATTCCCAAATCTTTCGGTATTTAATGCTGGGTTAATCCGTATACTTTGACAAGCCTTCCTCATTGCGTCGTCCTCGCAGGCGCCCTTCCTGTGATCCGTCCACTTCCTACTCCTGGCAAAACATCCTGCCTGACCCAATCTTGATATGAAAACCTTATACAGAGGGTATTGGTGCTATTCAATGCTGAAATACAATAAAACAAATGACTGTATTAGGGGAAATGCTCAAACACAACGGGGCTGCATTCGAAGATCTAAGCCAGATCTCGAATAACAGGGATGAGCCGTTGCAACGCCAGTGATCCCAAGTCGCATATGCTGTGGTAGAAACAGTTTGCAAAAAGAAAAATGAATAAACTCTTCCTGAACTCGAATGCACTAGATCCAACAGAAAACGCGCAATGGTTGCGTTTCAAATCCTGCGTGACATCTTTCATGTGCGCAGAGAAAGATTGGTGGTTTATATTAATGCTGCATCGTGCTTCCTTTCCAATAACGTCCCGATGGGTATATCCTCTTCAAGAGTAAACGAAGTTCATGAAATGGAGATCGTTGCGTGGTCCAGCCGTGGTATGATCGTAATGTTACAAGTGACTATCGTGAAGAAACGAGGCGATATCTTGTCGCGTGCTAAGATAATATTCGTAAAATATAGAGCAGCATTAGAGATCAGATTGATCACATGCTCGCCAATCTGCTGCTGGGGAGTTGCAGTGAAGGGTCTTCGAACTCCAGCTTTGGCGCGTATATATCGTATACTGCACTACCATATGCGGGTAGTTGTCCAATGGTTGTGACCTCGATTGGGGGGTCGTAATGGGACCACTGTTCTTGCTGCGGGTGTGCTGATGGTGGAGGGTAGTGTTCGGTCGTAGCAGGCATATGCTGTGGTTGCGACACAACTGGCTGCTGAGGGTGTGCCATGTGATGTTGAATGGGTTGGTGATACTGAACCATACCCGGTTGGCTTTCTGCTGCTGAGTATGCGGGCTGGGCCGCAGGTTGGTGCGCATAAAAGCCGTCCTGGACCATCGGGCTCGGAACTGAAGTAGCAGAAAAGGTGCTGGGGCTGCTCTGGATCGATGTCGGAACTCCAGAAGTCGAATAAATCTCCATAGGAGGTCGCTCGACTTGCTGTGATATGTGGTAATGGGCAGGCAAAGAACTTGTCATTGTAGCAACACCAGGGTTCCCTTGCTCAGTTACGTAGTATGCCTGGCGCGGCATGGCTGAGGTTCGGTGAACAAGCTGAACGTGAGTGTGCTGCTGGTCGGAGACAGGAGGGCCATGGTACTCATGTGCGGGAACCCCATGCCGGTGACCATAATGGGGTGGAATATGGCGACCATGGACCTGGGACTCGAAGTCGGCGTAAGAGGATGCACGATGTAGCGAGCCGTTTGGAACAGGTTGGCCCATAGTAACCATATCGTGAGGCGACCAAGTCATGGACGAGTGCTGAGGAGTAGAAGGAGACTCGTCATCGTCAGAGTCCGAGGAGCAATCGTCGATGTCGTTGGGGTTCATTCCTTGCTGGTGTGATCTCCGTTGATGCTTAACCATGGTGGTTTTTCTGCAAAAGCTGAGTTCCGTGTCAGCAAGTGATTCGTTTGATGGGCTTGATGCAACCTACCTCTTGGAGCAACCATCATGAGCGCATTTATAGGGACGTTTTCCAGTGTGTATACGTCGATGTCGAGCAAGACTCGATGACTTTGTCTGTTAGTTGATTCCGTGATGGCTACTGGGGGCTTCTACACTCACATCAGAGAATCGCTTGCCACAGCCAATGTGCTGGCATTGATGGGGTTTCTCCCCAGTATGTGTGCGAATATGGACGGTCAAGGCGCTTCGTTGGATAAAGCTTTTTCCACATCCTGGAATGGAGCAAGCATAAGGCCTCTCGTTAGTATGTATACGATAATGTCTTTGCAGATCGGACTTTCGATTAAAGCTCTGTTTCAGAGGTTAGTGATAAGTGTAGGCTTTGCGAGCTCCTGGACAACCAACCTTTGTGCATGACTGCCAGTCGCACTGAAAGGGACGGGCAGTAGGCTCGTTCTCGACTAATTCCATAAGTTCCATGATTGTGGTTGTGAAATATCGATGTGCCTTGGAGGCTGTGCGTGTAAGATGGTGCAAGGTTCAAGTAGTAAATAGTAAATAGCAGTTAGATATATCGATGACTGGCTACAGCATAGTGTTTCCAGATGCTCGCTTGTTGACAATTGCAGACCCAAGACAGTAGAGGCGGTCTATCGGTGCTGAGAAAGATCGATGAGCAGATGATTAGGCTTTGCCTGTAATTAAGGGTATAATAGGCGGCGGTGAGATCAACTCGTAGATAAAGCAGCGATCATAAGATGGCGTGAACAAACTCGGATCTGACAATCGAAAGGAGTCTATAGGATAGAAGACTTGGACTCGTATGGTGATGGGTATATGATGTTAACAATGTTGAAGAAGGAGTGGTTGAAGGTGGGATATAAAAGATGAGTGAAGCTGAGGGCTCAAGTAGTGTGGGAGCTGAGTGCTTAAACGTCTCGTGTTAATGCAGACCGTACCCACGATTGGCTAGTGGATCGGGAAGAAGAAATTTGGCTGGGCCGGGGGGAGTTGTACACCTGAAAGTAGGATAGCCGCTACTGACGGGTTGGTTTGTTTTTGGAGGGAAATGGAAAAGATCCAGAAGGAAGGACAAGGGAATATCGGGGCTATAACAGAATTGCTCCGAAGCACCAATATGACTAACGTAAGGTAACGCAGTTTATCAAGTTGGCCCCGAGGATCGAGTCGTTAGAACAGGCTACTCAGCGTCTAGTTGAGTTGCTTCGAGTCAGGTACAATAAAGCTCCATACAAGACAAAGACAATACTGGGGGTTCGACGACAGATATCAATGAACAGCGACCAGGTTCTGGGTTGGTCTGGTCCCGCTAGGTGAGGGCAGTGGGGTTCAGGGCAAAAGTGTTTGATGGCAAGGTAAAATAGTGCAGAATCGAGTACCGTATCAGTGCAGTACCTAGGGCCATGCAGATGCTAAATACCAGAATGAAGACAGCAGCCACCTCAAGTTGGAAAGATGGGCCGTCGCAAATCTGACTTAGTTCATAGGTGTACGGCGAGCATGGTATGGTATCCGTATACCTACATCCATATCCATACGCCGGGGCTAACAATGAACCACGCAGGAGATCAGAGGAGTCAAGGGATCCCTGCCCTGCAACAGCGGGCTTCAGTGGGTCTCGTCCGGCAACGAGTGATGGGGGGTATGAATACCGGAAGAGGGACTGAGCAAGAGATAGAATGGGGAATGGGATGGGGAATGGGGACTCGGTGGAGGGTGAAAGAACGTGACGACACGGCAGGTGAAGAGCAAGAGAAACGGAGGGAGATGAAGAGTCGCATCAAGGATCAGTCTGTCAGGTCAGGGGACAACGGACAGGCAAAGCAGGGCAAGGCAAAGGCAAGATGGAGAAGAGAAGAGGGCTGCCACTAACAACAGACTGAGACGAGACGAGCTCGGGTGGTATACCGAATACAACGTCTCCATCTCCCCAGCTAGACCACCTTGGGGTTGTGTTGATGGCGGCATGCAGTAGCTAGCGAGCTTCACAGCCTGTGTGAAGTGGGTAGAGAGAGAGCTGCGATTAACGTAGTGCGTCAGGACTCGACAGGAGGCTATCTATTGTAGACTCTGGAAGGCATTGACCAAGCGCAGGAGAATTGTGATCCAAGTTAGGGTAGCGTGGACCGCGATACATGGCTAGGCTAGTGTAGATAGAAAATACAAAAGGTACCTTACTTAGGCAATTGCCAGACAAGCTAAAGCCTCTCCATCGCATGGCTTTATAATTTCGCTGTGCTGTGCTGTGCTGCCATAACATTCATCATCACCTACTAACGTAGAGAGACTTGCCGTCGGTAGGTATAATTGCGGACCCATATTCCAAGACCGCTCTAATACAACGATTGGATGATCTTCCTAGGGAATTATTCAGATTAGCCCAGTTGAGGTTAGAAAGAATTTTTGGAGGGGGAGGGAAATAAATTCTGGTACACACTAGAGGGCACTCTGCATATTCCAGGACGTTGAGCCAGCCGCGACGGAGACAGGGGGCACAGAAGCCGACGACTCTAATCACTCACTCTTGGAGGGCTAATCCAATTGATGGCGTCGAATTCTGGTGCGCCAAAGCAAGGGATGATGGATTTGGATGGCAGATCCCTCCAAATGTACATACATACTGTACACAAACAGAAGGCTGACTGTTGATACAAGACAACCATTAATTGACTGACTAGCCGCATGAAGTGACCCAACGCTAGCAGGCTTGTTTCTCTCAAGAACCCATCAGGATCAGGGTTCATAGAAAAAACAGACGATACTGGATGCAATGTCCAGATGGTCGGTGGTTTGGTTGAGCCAGCGGCTTGGGAGACGTTAGGTTAGCGGAGAAAGAGGGGACAGCCACAACCACCGCATCTCCATGGGCGGCGTCCAGAGACCTGGATAACCCAGCTTGGACTGGACTGGGCTTGAATTGACTTGACTTGACTTGAGAGGTAACCAACATCAAAACTCCAGACTATCCTAGATAGCGATAGCAAATCGCGGTATCTCCGGTAAGAGCCGAGGGCTGTTCAATCTGTAACAGCTATTTTTATTGTTACATCTCAAGTGCCAGATGAGGTATTGTCTGAGAGAAAATGTGGGCATCCTGGTCAACTGGCCTGGCATCGTTGGTTCCGTGGATGGATGAATGAATTGCCTTTGGAGATCCAAAGTGGGCCAGGCCAAGTCTCCTGGCTCCTGGCTCGCTCCCAGGCACCTTACAGGACAGGCTCACCTACACCTGCGTCTGCATCTCCACCACTGTTGAGAGAGGAGAGAGGAGAGAGTGAGACTGAGACTGAGAGAGACTGACTGGGGGCTCAGGGCGTTGGCGTTGGCTTGGCTTTGGACAGCGCCGCGGCTGGGGTCTGATTCAGCCCGATGGGCCCCTAGACTCCAGTGGAGGTGGTTGTTGATGATGATGAGGATGGTGCTTTTGATGCTGGGCCCTGAACCTAGGTCTTGTCAGGATAAGTCTCTCCGATTATACGATCAAAGAAGTTAAAGCGTCGTACCAGTCAATGCATGCCGTATGTGTAGAGCCATTGAGCTACCGTTTCTTTTTTGGATGATAGACATAAGAGACGGGATTGGGACCAGCTTACTGGGCTACTGGGGCATCACTGCAGCAAGGTGGATCCTTCAGCAATGGTGTCTCTCCCGCGGGTACCTACCTACCGTACCCTCTGGCCACAGCCTGTATTCCGGGCAGTACCTGCCTCTAGTCGCAGACTGTCTACCTGTCGATCACAGACATTTTGGAGTGGGGCTTTCATAACTCGGAAGACTTGCTACCGAGGGCTCTTTATGCAGTCTACATAACTTTTGAAGAGAGAATGACGATACAGCCAACTTGGGTTGCTTTGTAGCGTTCTCAACACTCCTACTGTACCCCAAAGCTAAGTATCTGATATGAGAGCAGGGATTTTTGTGCCAGGTGTCGCAAAGAGACCGGGGGTTCTGTTACATCGAGCATCCCCCGCCACGAATTCTCCTCAAGCTTCACCAGTAATGTATCTAGCGTCTGTAAATCATGACGACAGGTTCAAGGCCGAGGAATTGAATATACAATACGGTACAGTAGTATTTTGTTAGAGTTTGCATGGTAGCCCATACATATCCAGACAATGGTTGTAGCAGCATTGGAAGTCAAATATCCGATTTTGACAGCTGTCGGCGCGGCAATTTTAACTCATCCTTGGTGACACATTGAACGTTGAACAGAGGACGGGAGTTCGACTAAAACTAAACACACACAAGCTGGTGGGGTTCACGCTATGGGATCATAGGTAGGATGGGATACCTTACCTAGGGACGGGATTGTTAGGTCACTGCCCGCGAACCAACACCAACACCAACGCCAGCACCAGCACCGACACTTCACCAACACGGGCCTAAGGCTCGTGCCGAACCTCAGCGGTCTTCTCACGTCCGATTTTGGCTCAATATGAGTCTGAGTAGAGCCCCGAAGAGGAAATCGAGACCCTCTCAATTCCGGAGACAATTGCAAGTATCTAGAGGCACACACAAACTATGGGTCTAGATAATCTACTCGATTTAATTACCTACGTCTGTGGCATTGAAAAGGAGATAGCCATCGGAGGTCTCCTCAGTGAGCTATTGGCGTCGCATTAAATTGATGAGGAACCATGACGTGCTAAAGACGTCCCTTGTTTCCTAGGTGGAATTGATGGCCAGGCCGCACTAACTTACCTGGTAATAGGTGCTGTAGATGTATCCTGTATGTATTACAGCAGCCGGCCTCTACCAAGATCTCTACTCTACTACCCACAGTTAGAACCCTTGTCGATCCCGGCCGAATGCCCACGTCGTGCCTGACTTGGCTGCTCTTTCGGACTTACGGTGACTGCTTAGTCCAGCCATCAACCCTAGTCATTGACTCCAGGTCATAGTCTAGTCTGGTCTACTCTACTCTACATTATCTATCTAAGTAATTATTACTCCATGCCCTGCGCACTGTACAGATGCTCCGGGATTCAGGGTAAAAGAAACAGCAGGGGCCTCTATTGGGCTTTGACTCTTTGTAGCCTTCCAGGTTTCCATGAAATATCCCCACGCCGGTCAGAACAAGCCGGAGGAGCATGGGAGATATGGATGCTTCCAAGGTTGCACGCCTTCCCATTAGACCAAACCCAACAGCCTTCACCAATTGTTTGTTTGATACAGTATCACTTCACTATTAATGCACAATTCTCACACCACTTTTACTACCAACGAGCGCCATCTCATCACATCTTTTTCTTAACCTGCCGCCAGCCCTTCAATATCCCCCAGTGTAAGGTCCGATCGGCAATAAAATTAGATGCGGTGCCGTTCTGGAGCTTGACGTTGATTTGCAGGATCAACACGAGACCCCGACGTTTCAACCGGCTTCTCCACATCGCTCAGTCAACAACTGGAGATTAAACAAGAATGTCGATCCCTCTGAGGGGCTAGACTAAGATTTGACA